TCTACTTGCTGTGAAATGTACACATTGTCTACTTTTATTTCTCTCAATCAAAAATTGAGTGAGAGGAGTTGGAGATCCTTACAAATGCAAAGTTTAAACTTGGTAGCAACCATCAGGTTTTGCTACTTCCTCTGCTATTGGATAGCAGTAGTGCTAGAAGATGCTGATTAGCAATATCAGGCAGTCAATCACTTTGTAAGCACTTCTTCTCATTCCTTCCCTGATGTTGCACAGATCACATGTGTAGAACCATCTGAGCCAATGCTGCCTATCTGGTATCATCCAGTCAACACTGAGGAATATAGGACATGTTGTCAGCCTTAGGTGCTTTCTATTATCCTTTCACCAGGCATTAATCTTATTTGCCATGTCAACGAAGATCCACTGGGAGCTATAGTACTTTCGAATGTGTTAAACAGCGCAGCTTGCCACAAACTCAGAATTCAATGAGACTCACTCCCAGATAAGTATCATAAGATTGCAGCCTAAGGCTTCAGTCCTTAAGACACTTTGCTGAAAATAACCCTCCTGACCTTGCACCTCCCTGCTGCAATCTTATGCATAGTCACTTGAGAGCAAGTCTCATTAAGCTTGATGGGCATACTTCCAAGAATGTGTGTGCAGGACTGAACTGTATTTCAAAGATAGCCGCCAGGATCTGAAGTACCATGGACTGTGTTCTGTATGTGCAACAGGACTTGTTTAGCCCCATGTGTGGCTTCAAGGCTGCTTTTTAAGACTGGGACCTGGAAGAACAGTATGCCTTTTTGGTAGGACTGGGATGGTCATCAGATTGACTCAGGATTCCCCCTGCAACTGCTTCCAGCCACCATCAGGAGAAATTCAAAAACTAAATAACAAAACATCCACACCCCAATCCAATGCAATAAGAACTTCAGAAGGCTTGCCCATCCCTACCGTAAGGGCAAATTTCCACATCTGTGCCTCAAATTGTGTCCCGCAGTGAAGTGTTCTTCTGCACTTAGCTGCCAACAAGACACTTCTAAATACCATTTTTAAATATGCAGAATGAATACAAAAAAAAAAGGTATCATGCCTTGCTTTGCAGCAGAAGTTCAGCCTTGATTCAGTGAAGAGCTGGAGTGTTACAGCTATGAATATGGCAGTCAATAAAATATCTAGTTGGTATAGCAACCTTAAACACTTGAAAAGGAAATCTGTCCTTCTGAGGGAAAGCTCTTCACAACAGAGCTTCTATCACCAATGATTGTAAGAAGTTTCTATGCAGGAGGCCTTGGTGTGCAAAAGCACAAGATCCAACAAAAGATTTTTAACTTCAGTTTTAGTGGTTTCATGATTCTGACTCAGGAAAAGTAGGCGCCACAGACATTCCTGAAAGAAGTGCTAAAGCAATGATAAAAAAGCATGCAAACTCAATGAACCTATGGAAATTGCAGTGACACCTTCTAGCAACAAACTATTAATTAGACTTTTGAGCTTGTCAACCTTGCTTCAGAATGCAACCAGTTCCGCAAGCCAAGCCCACCTTTACTGACAACTATGCAACTGACTTAAGAAGAACTTGGTGGTGGGAAGTGAATCAAAGTATAAAAAAGGAAGAAGCTATTTGACCATTCGGAAATCGGTTTCACATTGCATGGATCCACCAAACTTGCATTTTCAAAGATACCATGTGGGGGAGGGGGTAGTGAGGGGCAAGTTCAGTCACCTTCCAGCCAGTGGAATGTGAATCCTGTGGAGCTGTTTTTATCCAAAGAGATTCCCTGTGGTTTTTGAAACCTTCTCCCCGAAAGCAATGGCAATGGCACTACTCTTGACATAGTGCCACTGCCATTGCCTTCTGGGGTGGGGAAACAGTGGATTAGAGACAGCCATAGTCACTTTTTTCCACAGGAGAATAAGTGAGAGAAGGAGCAACCAGGAAACAGATAAGCTAGACAACTTAAGAAAGAGACAAGGGAAGCAGTGCCTCCCCGCTTAAATTTCATCAGTGTTCCACCACTGCCACTAAAAACTTCCACTATTTAGGTGGCTGTTTCAGCCAGGGTGGGTACTATCTATTCCAAATGGCAGTGGCTGTCCAGGGTCAAAGGAAGAGACCTTTCACAGCACATGCAACCTAAAGCTTTTATAACTAGCGATGCCAGACATTGAAATTGGTACCTTCGGTACACAGAACACATTCTCTACCCCTAAGCTACGGTCACGATGGAGATTTCAAAGAAAAGGGGCATTAAGCTTCAACTCCACTTATTTTCAAGTATTTTGATTTGGAGTGTGAAGTTCACTAAACAGGAATACAAAAACTGAAATACTGTTCCTGCATTAATTCAAAAATGCTAATGAAATATTGCCACTATTTATGCATGCATCCTATTTATAGGCTGTCCCACAACAAAAAGTTATCTGGGTGGCTTACAGAGTGAAACAGTAAGATTAGAAAACCATGTTACAATAAAACACAGCAAACAAAACACATCAATTAAGATCAAGGCAGATAAATTAAAAGCAGGGAACAGAGGAATGAAACAACAACAATGCAGCTAAAACAATATTAAGAACCACAGCATAATTTAAAAGGCCTGGAAAAATAAGAAGGCCTTTGCCAGGCCCAAAACTGATATAAAAGAGGATGGCATGCAATACTTTCTGGGTAGGGAACTAAATTTATCTAAGGATTGGAGCAGTACTTCGTGAAGTCTCATTATGCAGTCTTTCATCCCTGTTCTGGGCCAAATGAAGTCTTTTTCCCAAAAGGCAATGTGCAATGCATTGCAGTACTCAAAAAGTGGCAGATTATCGGGGAATGGATCATTGAAGCTAGGCTATCAAGGTGCCGGTAGGGTCAAAAGAACATAAGGAAAGCCCTGCTGAATCACACCAAAGGCCTATCTTGTCTAGCGTCCTTGTCCCACAATGGGCAACCAGAGGCCCACAAGAAGCCTGCAAGCAGGACAGGGTGCAACAGCATTTCCCCCACTTGGGATTCCTAGCAACTAGTATTCCAGCAATGGAGGTAGGCAAAAGCATTGTGCCTAGTAGCCACTGACAGTCTTATCCTCCATGAATTTTTCTAATCCATGTTTGGTGGCCATCACTACACTGTGCGTGTGCAAATTCTGTAGTTTAACTAAGTGTGACAAAGTACTTTCTTTGATCTCTGCCGAATCTTCTAAAATTCAGCTTCGCTGGATGACCTCAAGTTCTAAAGTCATGACAGAAGGAACAAATATTCTCACTATCCCCTGCCTGCACACCATACATAATCTTACACATTCCTATCCTCGAATGGAAGAATATTTTTAAACTGTAACTGCTTTATAAAAATTGCAACTGTTTTATAATGTTTGCAGCCCATAAAGTACGAGGAAAAAAGGTATGCCTAAACTTACTCAAGTTAATTTACTGGCAAACCATGTTAGTTATGTATCAAGCCACCTGAATTTTGTTTTTGTTTTTTTCTTATCTATGTTTCGGAAATCTTCCTGCTTTTTAAAAATGTGAACTACAGGATGGGGTGGAGGAGAGACATACAGACATATCTAACCATTATTTCTTAAAAGTCAACAGGATGATTCATCAGATATATCTGAATGAAATGGCCCACTCAGCTTCTAATGAGTCTGTGGCTTCAGGGTCAAGGAGGATCAGGCGTCTGCACTGTATCTATTTTTACATTGGTTTTAAAGTGTTTTAGTTTGCTTTTGTCATTAAAGCACAGACCTCTGCCTGGAAAGAGCAGGGCAAAGGATAAGCGTGGATAAGCTCTGACACTCTAGCCAGTATACCTGTGAGGCTGTGGCTGCGGCTGCGTGGGTTTATATTCTCTGGTATTCTTTGCTTTATCTGAGGCTCACGTATTGTTCAGGAATAGTCCATGAGAAACAGAAACTGAAACCTATGCACAGAATGTGCTCGTCAGCCCCCTACAATAAAAAATAAGACCAGGGGTAGTTAATATGGTGGCCTCCAAATGTTGTTGGACTCCGCCTCCCATCAGCAGCAGCTAGCCTGGTTGATGGTCAGGGATGATGGGCAACAACATCTGGAGGGTTTGCAATTGGAGCTGAACTTCTTGAAAACCCTGGTTCCCGCCTTCTCCCCCATGCTGCCGCCTGCACTTGGCTTCTTCTTCCTCCTCCTCCTCCTTTACTGCCAGGGCTGCTCCAGACCCACGTCCGGGCTGCAGGGCGGAGCGGACCACAGTGAAGCCATGGCTGGCCTCCAGGCAGTGGTCACGCCATCTGGAGGGTACTATGTTGGCTACTGCTGGGCTAGACAACAGGCATAAGAAGTCCACAAGAAAGAAGTTCTGGCTGTGGGTGTAAAACCCAGCAGGATTATCCAGCAGCCTTGGAAACCCTTTGAAAAGCTGCTGTTTTGCCTGCAGCTGATGCTCATACATTTTCTCTGGCAGCCAGGATGATTTCATCTGTCCGTATCAGTTAAAGAGAAACTGAAATGCTGATCCGCAGTCACCTGAGTCAGGTTCCATCCAAACCAATCATAGTGGGCCAGAGGAGATTGTAGAAGTACCTGCGTAGAAGTGAGGTGGCACCGAAGTGTTTGCCATGAGGCAAGGCAGGGGAGATTTTGTAGGTTCGTAGTATTATTAGCTTGCTGACTCCCTGCCGCACTGCCAATACATCTTTTTTAGTCTAGGTAGACTATACTTCTGACCGAGTGTAGAAGGAACATGCCCTCCCTTCAAGGTCATGTTGCCATCTTCATTTCTGCAAGCTCATTTTTCCCTGCTGTATCCCATCATGTATTGTTCTCAATGTCTATACCTTTGGGAGAAAGAAGAGGAGCATATTTGCATTATAAAAGGTATTGATTAAAGTACTGCTCGCTGTGAGTGCAACAGCGCCCTCCAAATATCAATATCAAGTGATGGTCTCCTCATGACGCCATAGATCACTGAGAGTTCAGAACCAGAAGATTCAAATAAAGATTCCTGAGTGCTTGCCAGAACAGTTAAGAGCATCTCCCACCGGGTTCCCCACAAGATTCTAGAACAGCAACAATGATGAAGTGCAGCAACAAGACACAGGCAGCAACAAGAAGAGCAAAACAGACTCACTAGTTCAGAGGTGGAGGACTGCAGCCTTGGCACTGAATGATGCCCTCCAAGCTGCCCTATTCAGCCCTCAGGGCTCCCCCTGAATCACAGCCCTCTCATCTGCCCACAACCTTCAGTGACTCTGTTCCCTGTGCTCTTCAAGTGATTTTATGTGGCTAGAATGTAACATTGGAAGGTGATTATGTCTCTTGTTTTGCTGCATTGAAGATGGATATCTACATAGCTGGAATGTAGTCTACTGCACAGAGGTAAGAATCACATCCGTTGCCTCACTCAGTCACATCTATTTTGCCTCTGGTCTCAACCACCACAGCCAAGTGACTCCCAGAAAGAATACAACCTTCAGAATGAAATAGTTCACTTCCCCCTGTAGTCTTCTGGGTGGTAAATAGCACAAAACATTAATGTATATGAAACTTTCTACTGTGCCAAAAAGTCCAGCTGACGCTTTCCAAGGGACATTTAGGGGAAGAACAAATAGAGAAACTTGGTGCAATGTTGTGAGCCGGGATACTTGTGCTTCAGGGTACAAGTGGCAGTCTTGTCTCACCTCTTTGTTGTTCTTATTGAAGGAGGAATTTTGTCCCCACTGGTGGTGGTGACGCCCCCAGGATGGTCTGGCAAACATTTCCCCCAAATACATCTCTGGAAGAAGGCAACACTGGTATTGTTGTATCCTTTGCCTCACTCCTGTTTTGCCACCCTGGGTTCCTTGGGGAGGAAGAGTGGGATATAAATGCAAATGTTGTTGCACATTTACATCATGGTTGTTATATTTTAATGGGGTTGCATTGTTCTGTATTTTTAGTTATATTGTGTTCCAACAATGTTGTGCAGTTGGATTATATTTCTGTAAACCACTTATAAGCCATCTGGGCATTGAGAGATATAAATAATAATAAGCCATTCATCCCTACAAAACAATTCCCCTTGCCATGGTGATTCATAAATGATTTACTTAGGAGTGAGCAATGAGGTAGTCCAGTGTGTTGATGATACCAAAGGAACTGTGAAGAACTCCAAAAGGAACTACCTAGAATGAGTGAATTTGTCCCATGAAAATACATTGTCAGGACTTCTCAATGCTCTGTGTTGCATTCCAGATTTTTCCGTATGGTTTGACCATATGCCTCATATGAGTACAAGAATTTGAAGCATTAGTTGTCCTAGTCATTGTGACATATTTTATGATGCAACTGACAAGCCACTTTCATATGTGAAGAAACACCCATCCTCATTGGTAAAAGCCATTGTGATGTCATCATTAAGCAAGCACAGCTTTCTAGGACCAAAAGGGCCTGGAGAAAACCAGTATATCTTCCTGAAAAGTCATGCCTCGCGCAACATGTCACTGTTGCTTGACATGTCCATGTTGCCCAGGTTGTCCGTGCTGCTATGAATTAGTTAGGTTTCGGCGTTACTTGTTCAGCAGATCCATATTCGCATGCTGCTTGTGTTGGCGTTTTCTATGCAGCGATGAACGGAACTGTGACTGCTTCTACTGTCCACACAGCGAAGATGAAACCTGTCAGTGCTGCCACTGCACATGCTCACAGAACCCAAATTGCCGCTGCTGCTGCTGCTCCTGTGCTAATAATCCACACTGCAAGTACTTGTGCTGCACAGATGAGAATGATGACTGCCAGTGCTATGAAAGCACGTGCTGCAACTACCTCAACTATATACCTTACAAGCATCGGTACAGACTTAGAAGGTAAGAGTTTGACAGAACTATGGTTTGTTTTAGAAGCCAGTAATCATTAACCCATTTAGGAGCTTAGAGTCCTTTGAAAAACTACTGTGGAAAAACCCCAATGTTAGCACTACACATTTAGCCTCTTTCCATTTTAAACCTTCGTTAATACACATACATTTCCATTTCTGCATCAATTAAATCAATTATACTTAACACTGGGGACTGACCAAGGGGCTTTCTACATGCCCTTAATCAATGGGGTATTAGGCAACACAGATATGGCATCCTATCCTGTGGTTAGTTGGGTGCTGTCAGTGGCAAGAGGGCCTTCTCAGTAGTGGCACCAGCTTTGTGGAATTCCCATCAGATGTCAAGGAAATAAACAACTATCTGACTTTTAGAAGACATCTGAAGGCAGCCCTGTTTATGGAAATTTTTAATGTTTGAAGTTTTATTCTGTTTTTAATGTTCTGGGAGCTGCCCAGAGTGGCTGGGGAAACCCAGACACATGGGTGGGGTATTAATTAAATAATAATAATAATAATAATAATAATAATAATAATAGATCTACATCCTAGATTTAAGACCCTATTCATTGGACTAGACACAGGGAATCTATGCAACTGAAGCTGCCATCTCATACAACACGTACCAACTGATGACCAATACTACCTATATAGAATGATATAGGGTCCTTGAATGTTACCTAGTCCAATCTTCTGCTCAGTGCAGGATAGTCACAGGTGAAACATTCCTCACTTCTCCTGTGCATCTCTCAAGCAGGGTTTTGATTAGTTTTGTTACCCTGAAGCAAAAATACTGTGCAGCGCGTTATTTACCCATAGCACAGAATGAGCAAAAGCGCTGAGAAAGAGAAAGAGTGCCTTACTTTAAGGGTTTTTTGAGTTTGTGGCACAGGAAAGATTCACGCCACATATCTCTCCAAACTTCATATGAGTCTCATCCCACGCAAGCCTCCTTGTCTTTTCACTTGCAGACCTAGTAGCAGCAGGACCAGTGGGAAAACCTTACTGCGAGGCCTCCATGTAAGGCCTTCATCCCTACCATCTAGGACATTAAACAACATCTCGGGAATCCTGGGAAAGCTGTATTTCCCAAGGTCAGTAGCACCTTCAGGATTGTCATTGCAGGATTTCTGGTGATACTGAGATTGCTAACAAGATCGCCATTCTGCACCTGCCACCCCAAACCACAAAGTAGGGAAAACATTTGACAGGAGACAGGGAGGAAAAAGGAACATAGGAATTCTGGATTGGGTTAAATCTAAACCACAGATGCATTTTAGGGGTAAAAAAGGTAAAGGTAAAGGACCCCTGACAGTTAAGTCCAGTCCCAGACGACTCTGGGGTTGCGGCGCTCATCTCGCTTTATAGGCCGAGGGAGCCAACGTTTCTCCGCAGATAGTTTTTCTGGGTCATGTGGCCAGCATGACTAAGCCGCTTCTGGTGCAACGGAACACCGCAGCCAAGCATTACTCATAACATAAGTTCATATTACAAGTTGGGTAATTGTGAATGTTGTTGGCTTCACTCTCTACAACTGAAAGTTTTCTTGGTTGTTGTTTTTTATGCTCAGACGCAAGTTGATAAGCAACTCATCTGTCATTTCGCTGGATAAGGAATCATCGGGACATGCTTTTCTTGACCAGCTTATTTGCCCTTTGTGCCAAGAGCTGTTTCTCCGACCTTTTATGCTGCCATGTAATCACTGCATTTGCGATAAGTGCATAATGAAGAGCCAACTTCAGGCTGAGATCACAGAGAACTTCTTCATCATCACATGCCCCATTTGCAACAAAGCCCACTGCCTTCCATTTGCCAAGAAAATCCAGCTGCGGATGAATTACCTAAGAGCCAGATTGGCCAGGAAATATATGCGTCGATACGGTTTTCTGCGGTGGAGGTTTGACAGAAGCCGGCTACCGATTTATTGCCAACTTTGTGACGAGCGCCGGAAGGCCACCAAGAGATGTGTGACATGTCAGTTGAATTACTGTAATCTTTGCCTGAGGAACTTTCACCAGGATATCTCGTACCAAAATCATGTCTATGCCAAAATCAGTGACGAAGTTTGGGAAGAAAGAAACTGTTTGATCCATGGTGATTCAATGATCTCAAAATACTGTCTTGATGACCATGAACTGCTTTGTGAATACTGCGCTGATGCCCACCACACGGATCATGACACAGTTCCTTTGCCACTAGCATGTTCAAAACTGTCTGCTGCATTATTCGGTTCTATTGCGAAGTTTAAAAAAGGTCCCTGTTTGTATTTACTTTCCTTCTGCTTGATTTGTTATTGTAATATAGGCTTTGATGAGTCTCAAAGTGCAATTATAAACACACCGGTGCAATGGCACCCACATTGTGTAAATCTTAGGTTTGTATGTACATTTTATCTGAAAACCACTGAAAGAGTAGTGAAATAGACATAATGTAGGGACATCTATGGATGCATGCATGCTATACCTTTAAAAGACATTTGCCTCCTTCAAAGGTTTCTGGGTACTGTAGTTTAGCTCATACTGATTTACATGTCCCAGCAACACCTTAGCAAACCACAGTGACCAGAATTCTTTGGCGGCGGGTGTGTGTGTGTGTGTGTGTGTGCACTTTGAATGTACTTTAATGGTATCACATGTAGACGGGTCATCAAGGCCTTTCTGAAATTGTAAATGTAGCTGCAGGGGTCAGATTGGGGCAATGCTGCAAGTGTGCTAACCCTCCCCATGATTTCTGCATTATGCAATCACTCCTGAGCTGCTGTTTGTTCTTTGAGGGTAAGCACACAAGCATGGTCACATCCATCCCGTGCATTTATAGCACATTTCTGCCAATTTAACTTTCCCACAAAGGATCCTGTGGACTGTAGTTCACTCCTCACAGAGCTACAATTCCCAGCACCCTTAAACTGCAGCTTCCAGGATTCTTTAAATATATGGTGTGAATATGACCAATGTATGTGTTGACTCAACAGTCAACAGACTCAACATGCTGTTCCAACAGAGAGAGTTTATCTATGGGGGAAACAGCAAAGGAGAGCATTAATAGCACCTACAGCTCTGCTCCACCAACCCACCAACCCCTGGTGGCTCTCTTCACATTTAAAAACACTGTGGGAAATCTGATCATTGTTGTCCAATTTTTTATTTACTTTGAGGAATTGTTCCCACAATGCTGTACATTCAAATCCAGTTTACATTGTGTTAATGGGACTCCAACTTATCGTCTTGAACTGAACCATAGTGAAGCTGCTGTTTCCAATACAGATCACGCTAAATGTAGTCAACCTATATGAAACCCTGTCTCACTTTTAACTTTTACTACATTTTGTGAATGAGTAGATGAACAGTGATATCATGATTGTTTTTGTGATATAATGATTGTTTTTGTGTGTTTCAGTACGATTTATAATTGATAATGATCTAATGGAAGTCCTTGTATTAAAAAACAATTTTAAGTCCTATAAAGAAACAAAAAGGAGGGAGATCAGGAACGGTTTCATGAGGTTACAGAGCATCCTTCAACAACGGGAGAAAGAGCTGATGGAGGCAGTAGAAAACCTTGAGATTCAAAAACAGAAGGCACTTTACGAGTTTGCCGAATACACAAGCAAGAGAATTGATCAGATGGACAGCCTTATGCAGTATTCTAAGGAAGCTCTAAAGGAACAAAGCCAGCTTGCCTTCCTGCAGTCTGCATATGGGCTAGTAGTTGAAATAGAAGATGCAATTGCTAATATTTATCAGCCTAGCCCACTTCTCAGGGAAGACCCTATTAAGCACCTTAAAGTCAACTTTGAGGAACTTGCACAAAAGTTACAAACCATTTTCCCAGCCCTTTCAAAGAAAGTGTATGATAAAACAGGCAAAAGTCCTTACCCCTGCAGTTCTGACATAATGATTCCAAGGGATGTTTCCAGTGCGCACGTCCCAAATCCATTAGGAATGGATCGTAGTCAGTCTTTAGCATCATTTACTTCATTAGATCAAGACATAATGAACGACATGTATCTAAGACCCAAATCCTTACCTCCTAACTTGAAAGATAATGGGATGTATGCAATTTGGGACGCAGCATCAGATACTTCAAGAAGCGATAGGAGATTTCAAAACCAAGGTATCTACTACAATCCAGAATTACATGGAGAAGCCCAATCTACCACTGTTCCTGGCATTGTTATCGTCTACCAAACACTTGTATTTCCAACTCTTGCTAAGGTAAGATTTTTTTACATAATGTTTCATACACATTGTACATGCACTGAGAGCATTTGTAGGCCAAGGGCTCATCCCCACTTCCGGTTGTGCCATTATTTTTAGGCACAGGCCCGTGATTTCTAGGCACGGGTCTGAGTGGTTTGTTGTTGCCATCCTGCCAGTTTTCCTGGGGAAACCTGCTGATTACTGCTGAATCAGAACAAACATCACTGAGGACTGACATTTGTTCTGATTCAGTCGAAAACAGTGGGTTTTTCAGCCAGTGCATGTTGCCCAATGCAGTGGTCCCCAACTTTTTCTGTGTTGAGAAAGTACAGTGGTACCTCGGGTTACAGACGCTTCAGGTTACAGACTCCGCTAACCCAGAAACAGTACCTTGGGTTAAGAACTTTGCTTCAGGATGAAAATAGAAATCTCATGGTGGCAGCGGGAGGTTAAGAACAATTTCAGGTTAAGAACGGACCTCCAGAACGAATTACGTTCTTAACCCGAGGTACCACTGCACTTGTTTAACTGGGGGATTTTCTTTGTCAGACCTGCTTTCCTCTCTCTGTGATTTCCTCCCTTGTGCTTCTCAGCTGAATGGAGAACAGCAGAGGGTGGTGAAAAGGAAATTTTCCCCTTGGAGCTCCATCTGTTCTTCCTGTTGCTCTGCTGGGAGGGTATGTTGTGAGCCCTGTAAGATTAGGCTGTGGACCAGAAGCAGCTTGGTGGCTGCAGATTACAAACTTCTAAACTAGAGGTAGAGGGATCATGTTTCTTGGACACCTGAAGGCAGCCCTTTTTAGGGAAGTTTTTAATGTTTAAGGCTGTGTTGTGTTTTTAATATTCGGTTGGGAGCCGCCCAGAGTTGCTGCGGAAACACAGGCAGATGGGCAAGGTATAGGTAATAAATTATTGTTATTGTTATTAATTGGGGACTATGTATACAAACCGGAGAATGTGCTTACTGTATTTGCCTGGAGAATGTACAAAATGCAGTTCAGATGCGCACATTCCCCAAGGTCTGTTGGAGATTATGCATAATGTCATTCTTTTTATTTATTAGCTGCTTGTCTCCTGAAGGTCTCCAAACATAAATAATAAAAGCAATAACCAGACACATTAATTAACAAATAAACAAAAATAAACAAAACCCCAACCTCCACCTAGTCAAAAAATCAGTCACATGAAACCAACAATTTTTCTCTCTTTAACCTCTCCACCCTGCTCATCAACTGGACAATGTACAAAGTTCTGTCAAGATAGGCACACTCCCCAAAGCCTGTTAGGAATTGTGCATAATGGCCAGAGAAGGTACAAAAAATGCAGTCAATATAAAGACATTATCCCGGGCCTATAGGGGATTATGCATATTGACTAGAAAATGTGCACATTTCCCTCTTCGTTGATGAATTATGTGCACTTTTTACAGGCACAGAAGAAGGCGAAAGCTATTTTTAGAAATCTCATGAGAGAAACATATGTACTTGATGGTGGTGAGCTGATGAGTGTATTTGTGGAGTCCACCTCCCATTTTGCCACCCCATCTGAAGGTGGCAAAACTGGAATGTTGGAAATGGGGGGCGGGTTTGAAAGGCCTTAGTTAATGTGGAGTGTCCCTGTGCCCTCCTTGTAAGGTTATTAGATTTAAAGGTTACAAATAGCAAGCATTGAGATGTTGCTACGTGATCCAAAATACTGGTATGGTAGGAGAAGTTCGCTACATATATCATTGACATATTTTAATGGAATTTTTTTTTTTTTTTGCTAAAAAATTTAAACTCTGTGAAACTAATGGTTTTAGCTCATTAAATGCAACATGAAAATATATTCAGTGTTATCTTTTTGTGTATAGATTTACTGGACATGTCCTACAGAAGAAGTTGATAGCTTTGAGGTTGCTTATTATGAAGTAGTTGATGAAGAGGCAGCTGAGAATTTAATTCAGCCACAACTTGTAGGAGTGCTAACTGGGATCGCCCAACAGAATCTGGAAATACATAATCTGACACCTAATACAGAATATCTCTTCAAAGTCCGGGCTGTCAACGAGCATGGTCCGGGCCCATGGAGCGAAATTTGTAAGGTACAATCTATCTACTCCTTCCTGCTTGTACTTTTCCACTGATGTCATACCATGCATACAAAGGCAATAATAAAATATTAGATAGGATATGTTTCTCAGTAGGTTATTTTGCTGGTTGAATTAACCAGTGCTAGATACTGCCCCAGCTCCATCAGTCTCAAACCAAGCTTTGTCAACAGTTATTAGTGAATTGTTTGTAACAATCAGATCCTGTGCTTTATTGTAGCTAGCTGACTCTTGTGTGAGGACCATGTAGGAGAAAAGGAAAATAAGGTGTTCTTTAAACGGTTGGTTGTGGTCCAAGAAAAATCAGCCACCAAACACTTTTGATACCCATTTTTGTGCTCCTATCTAGGTTGCATCTAAGACAATCCTATTGCTCCCCCTATGACAAGAGAGGTATAGATGAGGTTGCAGCCATCTCCTCCCCCCACCCCGCTTGCAGTTCCTACACACCATACCCCACAACTGTCCCGATTAAATTGGGACATCCTGGTTTGGGATGCCGAGCTCTGAAAATAAGACCCCCAAATGCATGTTTTGGGGCTCAGTGATCTCGTACGAGTCACATGACTCACACAGAAGCAGGGTCGGGAAGACAAGTGTCCCAGTTTTGGGGGTCAAGATGTTGGAGAGTTTGACTGACACCGACACGCACACATCATGGTGTCTTCTGGAAGCACCATAAATACTACCATATTATTGTGGCATAGATTTTCATGGAACAGAGTGCCCACCCTTTTATTGGTCTAGGAAAGCTCAAGCCACACACAAAGTTAAGTCTTTAGGGTGCAGCAAGACTGTCAGCACATCTGCTTAGTCAAAAGTCGCTTCCTTCGAGTTCAACAGGGCTTCAGTATGCATGAATAGGATTGCAACTTTCAGCACAATGAATCCACTGGGTGTGGTTTCAGAACTGACATCTCAAATCAATCTGAACGTATGTGCTGTTTTTTGTTTGTTTCTTTATGGTAGAAATTGCTTGTGTATAGCAGGGGTCAGCAAACTTTTTCAGGAGGGGGCTGGTTCACTGTCCCTCAGACCTTGTGGGGGGCCGGGCTATATTTTTTTTTTGGGGGGGGGATGAATGAATTCTCATGCCCCACAAATAACCCAGAGATGCATTTTAAATAAAAGGACACATTCTACTTATGTAAAAACATGCTGATTCCCAGACCATCTGTGGGCCGGATTCAGAAGGCGATTGGGCCGGATCTGGCCCGAGCCTTAGTTTGCCTACCCATGGTGTATAGAATAGGGGCCCTGAGAGACAATTCAATGTGTCTCTTAACATGAGAGCTTCCATAATGGATACATTTTGTGCAGTATTTCCCCCACTCCTAACAATTTGGAATGCTGTGTGGTCACAGTAGCAGGGGGGCATGTGGAAGACTTGTGTTCCACTCCATGACTTATGGACAGTTGACCACAGAGTGTTATCTAAAGTGCAATACAAGCAAAATTGGAGGTAGTCCTTCAGGCTAAATATCTAAGAAACGTTGAGAAAAGTTAAAATATGTTTTAACAAAAATTCCTCAGAGAAGTGGTGCATATCTTTGTCAGTCACTAACTGGAATATGTGCATCTTCAGTGGGGACTGAGTGAGGGTACAGAAGCACTGTCCATTTCTATAGCAAGGGCAAGAAAATCAAAATCTCCAAGCTCCTGCTGAATTCTTGTCTAGTACTGCACATCTTGCAGGCACAGGAGAATGTCTAGAAGACAGTATTCTAACTTATTTGTCTTCCTCACCCACTCTCATTCCAGCAGTAGGGTAGGCTTAGGAATGGAGATATGAAGGAGGCTGCAAAGTAAAAGGAAATATTATCTGCAACCTCTTAGCAAGAACAGCATGAATTTCCTTTAGGGAGTAACAGCTAAAGTAGCACCTGTAAATGCAGGATTAGGGATAAAGACTAGTTCTCCCTGCATCTGTGGAGCAAACATACATGTCCAGTAATGTGTGGGCTTAAAAAAAGAAAAGAAAAATAGCCCAGTCAATTATATCCTGATGGATGTTAGTAGGAAGGCATAGTCTACAGAATTTCCCAGCTGCAGACAAGGGAAGAGGAACTTGAAATGCCATTCCTCAAACTAAATAGCAATGAACAAACAGAAGCTATTTCATTTGGAATAAATTGAAGTATACTTTTTTTTTACATAGCAGATTGTGAAGAGGGAGTTATTTAAGCCATTTTGCAAATTCCTAGATTTGAAAACAGAAGTCTGAAATAAAGTGTGTGTTTTGTTTAGCAGAAACAATCTTTTTCTGGTTCTTATTCATCCTTTTTCAAACGTCAAAACATATTGAATAGATTCCTTATTTTTATTGCCCAGCTGTTATTGCAGCTAGAACATTCACCACATTATTTGATTTAAAAACCCTGAAGCGGCAATCCTATCCCCCCACCCCCAGGCAAAGTATTATGTCAGTTGTTTCCTCCTCCTCTTTGTTGCTCGTTTTTTTTTTAATCCATTCTGTACAGAGTAACTTATTGATTTTATATATCTCTATGTTCACCAGTGGACCTAGATTCTGAGCTTTCACTTATAAAAAAAGAACAGTTCCTCTTTAGAATGAACATTGTTGAGCAAAAAAAAGAACAGTTCCTCTTTAGAATGAAGATTGTTGAGCAAAATATGCAAGCAAAATTCAAAGCAAGTGTTTTGTGAGGTATGAGCCTGCTTCCACCTTTCAGTGGTTTGCACAAATGAATGAAGTCACAACTGTGATTGATAAGCCCTTCAGATAAGTTTAGAGTCCTGCCTGGTTCATCTTCAAGATATATACTTAGTCATTTTGAAGTTCCCTCCCCTTCTTCACCTTCCCTGATAGAGGGGTGACTGTTAGCCAGAGAAAATAATTGAGAAATTCAGCATTTCAGTATCTCTGTGATTGGTTAGTATGGAAAATATTAAAATTGTGAAGTGCATTCCAGCATTGTTATCCACTCTCTTGCTTTGTTAAGTTTATTCCCTTTCCTTTCCATTTTTTTGGAAAATGCAGTTGGGCAGGGCAGGCTAAGTTGACTACATTAGTAGATGGTGCAGTTGGGCTGCACTGCTCGCTTGACCTACCTCTGGCTGAGTTGCTGCTGCAGACTGGGAGGTGCAAGGTCAGCATGGTGCAAAAGCACTAGTGGAGGCAATCTAGCACTCCTGCCAGTGTTTTTGTACCACACTGACCATGCTACTATCTCACTCATTACTCTCTTGATCCTGGTATACAGCAGCAATTCAATTGGATGGATGTTAAGTGAGCACTGAAGCCTCACCATGCCCTCTGTGACTGGTTGATCATAGTAGCAATGCAGTGGGAGAGGAAATTTGTTACTTTCCCAGCTTCAGAGGAAAACAGAAGACTTTGATGCAGCGCAAATCCTTTTTGCTTGGCCTGTACTGATAAAGGTTGCTGCAGTTATTATGAAGTGTAAATAATAAATAACCACAACAAAGGCTCTTAGAATATTCTGCTTGCTTTTTAGCAATTCAATCCTGACTTTATCAAAGCAGGGGTATCTGAACTTTGGTTGCTACAAATCTTCAATCTCTTTTGACTGCTCCAGCCATCTGAAGCAAAAATGTCTGGTCTTGCCCTGAATATAGACACGTCACCCTAAGATCAACTGATGAAGTACCTACCATCACATAAGTGGTTTACAACTCAAGAAACACGATTTCTTTGTACGGGTTAGGGTTAAGATTGGGTGCTATTCGTGCTATTATGTCTTTTAATAGCTGTGTGTGGCAGGCAGAGATTCTGCATGTTAAGCATTTTCAAGCCTTTTCAAATATGAATGCATTTATAGGGAAAAGCTTCATCTATTGACCTTCTGGCCTTGCCCGCCCACATTTCAGCATTAGTTCTGCACACACTGGAATTTGTATATGAGGAGCAAGATTTGTCTTCCCTATTCATATCTGTAGCCATTCCCTTTTGCATTTGTCCCCACCTTCTGATTTGTCAGTTCTGTAATACCGATTAACAGTTGCAGGAATGAAGGTTGCAATACCATATATGGATGGGAAAATATCATGAAAAAAATTGTAATGCCGATTAAATACTGACAGGGCAGGCACACAGATAGCTGTACACAAAAGGCAGCAAATGTAAATTCTCGGCACACCATTTTTATTGTGTTTTCCTTCTGCAGTTCTTTTTTTGGTTTTGTGTAAATATGATGGGTCAAAAGATAAATCTATATATCTGTATGGCTATGCTCCATTCAAAAGCGTGCCAAAAATAGTTACGAGAATCAAGGAGGAAATGAATTCAATGGGCTGCTGAATTCATAGAATCATAGAGTTGGAAGAGACAACAAGGTCCATCGAGTCCAACCCCCTGCCAAGCAGGAAACACCATCAGAGCACTCCTGACATATGGCTGTCAAGCCTCTGCTTAAAGACCTCCAAAGAAGGAGACTCCACCACACTCCTTGGCAGCAAATTCCACTGTCGAACAGCTCTTACTGTCAGAAGAAGAAGAAGAAGAGTTTGGATTTGATATCCCGCCTTTCACTCCCCTTCAGGAGTCTCAAAGCGGCTAACATTCTCCTTTCCCTTCCTCCCCCACAACAAACACTCTGTGAGGTGAGTGGGGCTGAGAGACTTCAAAGAAGTGTGACTGGCCCAAGGTCACCCAGCAGCTGCATGTGGAGGAGCGGAGACGCGAACCCGGTTCCCCAGATTACGAGACTACCGCTCTTAACCACTACACCGCACTGGCTCTCAGGAAGTTCTTCCTAATGTTTAGGTGGAATCTTCTTTCTTGTAGTTTGGATCCATTGCTTCAGAATTGTCTGAAGGCATTCCTGGTTGAGAGAAAGGACTACCAGGGAGGATTCCTGACTCTAAAGAAATGTGCAGTTCTACCTGTCCTTGAGTACAAAATAGCAACCTAGGCAGTAGGCAGATTGCTGTCAGGAAGAATGCATCTAAGTGACTTGGTGGATGACAATTGGTATTGTTATTAACACAGTTCCGTCAGTAAATGGTCTCATTGTCTCCTTGCTTTTCACAGTACATTGTTGTTGCCTGGAATGTGTGACTGGTAGTAGTGATCAATGATGGACTGAGATATTGGAATGACTGGGCTGGTGGTGCATTTGTGTATATTGGTGGACATGTGTGGGATGCAGGAGTAGAATGGGGTGGGTGATATTGAATGGGTAATAAATATGTTATGATTAGTAAGGCATAAATTGAGCATGAGGTGTAATATTTTGTGAGTCAGGATGCTTTTGACAAGAGGGAGGCTGGAGAGGGAAGGAATTCCTGACTCTAAACATGTTTCAAAATGTGCTGCTGCTGTTTTTGTTTCTTGAGATATTTTATTGAATTGTGTTGTAGTGTTCTTCAATATTGCATGGCATTATATTGTAGTTACTCAGTTTCATTGTTCGGTATATAATATTGATATGCTGTATTGTCTAAATTGCTTAGAGATCATTTGAGTATTAAGTGATATATAAATACATAAAACAAATATTTAAACATGCCAATATATGATTTCCTACCATGTCTAAGACCTTTTTCATATGCAGTTACTATTCTTATTAATAAAACTCAGCATGGATTGCATATTGTGTGTTCCACTAGGTGGTGACTCCAGAAATTCGTGCGAAAGTCAAAGGCAAATGGGGATTGCTACGAAATGTTCAATCTGCTTTCCATAAACAGTCCTGACCTGCAAGCCAACCAACCCAATTTTTAAAGAGATGACTCAGAAGTAAGCCACTGGATAGAAAGCAATTATATTTTCTCAGATGCCTTTCCTTTTCTTCTAAAGTGAAGCTAACTTGCAAGCTGAAATCTGAGAGTAAACCCTTCAGAATAAAGATCTCCTAGCAAATTAAAGTCTCAGCCCTTTGTTTTATTTTTTTCTACATTCCGCTGAAACTGGAGGAAAACATTGCACTGTACATGAAATATATAATGAAAAATCCCTGAAGCCAACTCTGTGGTGTAGCAACCCTTCAAAGGAATGTAGCAAACATTTTCATTGTTGAGAAAGTACTTTCTCAGGGGCCACTCCTCATGCTATATAAAGCTGGGCATATGGCTTGCAATATGTTTCATTTGGAAATGGGTATACAGCATAAAAATCCCCTTCCAGATAGACATCTGAGTGATGCTTGTGATGCCTTTAGCCCTGGAGTTTACAAGAAACTCATTTACTGCTCTGGCTTTAGTCTCATGCTTTGGCTATTAGTGGAGAGTTCCAGGGTCTGTTGCCACCAACACTTAGCAGAGTCCAGTTCCAGTGTCCATTGCCACCAACACTAAGTTTTGTCCCAATAGGCAGGTAGCAGTACAGTGGTACCTCGAGTTACAAACACCTCAGGTTACAAACGGTTCAGGTTACAAACTCTGGTAACCTGGAAAAGTTATCTCGAGTTGAGAACTTTGCCCCAGGATGAGAATGGAAATCATGTGCCAGTGGTGCAGTGGCAGCAAGAGGCCTCTAGTTAAGAACAGTTTCAGGTTGAGAATGGCCCTCCGGAACAAATTAAGTTCGTAACTAGAGGTACTCCTGTATTGACATAAATAAGGTTACAATCCTATCTGTGAGCCTTTTCCTTTCTGCCTAATTCCATTTTCAGCTACAACAGCATGGTATTCTGCCAAGCGTATACATATTTTTCCTTTCCCTTTCCCCAGTTTGTTTTAACTGCTGCTGCTCAGACTAATCTTCATTTTTTAAAATCAAATTTAGAACACTTGTTGAAAGGTCAGCTGTAAATCTTAAACAAACAAAACATTCATGGTTGTTATGTCCTGATTTTTGCTTAGTGATCTGAGTTATTTGCTGAACCATCTCATGTTCTGCATTTAATATTTGACTTTAGCTTGCTCTCTGTAGCCCAGACATGATATGAATATTTCCATTTAGTTGTATTTATAAATTCTGACCTATTACCCCCACCCTGCATACGTATATTTTGGGGCACACTCAATGGACAAAGCTGCCTACTCAACAGCCTAGGAAATTTAATATTGCACTGACTTATCAACCTTCCTTTTCCTAAATGTGAAAATGGATTTCCCCACCTCCTTTTGAGACTTCATTCTCAAAATCATTCAGATTCATTCAGTGGGAACTCCCTGACTGCTCTCCCAAACAGATATGGTTAGCACCATCATTACCAACTTTTAGGCACCAAGCAGAAACTTTCCTGTTCTCTCAATCATTTTAGATCTTAACTGGGCCATATGGCCTAACTATACCCAAGTCTATATTGGTGTTCATCATTAGTTGGGTGGAATAGGATTCATCCTTTGTATGTTATGGCAATGTAAGAACTTTTAGTTAATTAATGTTCTGTTATTATTTTTTAAAATATATTTTAAATTTTGTACCGTGCATGCTTTTGTCACTGTAGCTTGCTTTGAGACATTTTGCAGCAAGTGAAAAATAAAAGTTAATCGTAACAATGACTGTATGGACACACCTCCATTTCTGGGCCATTTGTGAAATCAACCTCTGCGTAGGTTTAAGGCAGTTAAAATATTCATTTTGGTATATATTTTGAGCCAAGAACTACACTGCAACATTCAGGAAAGTATGAAATATGATGGATATCTATGCTTCTATTTGCCCAGAAGGTGTGGGTCAAATCTGTTCATACTTTAATCTGCAAAAGGACTAATTCCTCAAGCATCCCTAAACAGATGTCAACTGACATGCTAATAGTGATGATCAAAGGCAGCCCTCATCACTTTCCTGCCCATCTAGCCAATTGGCTTTACCGGAGAGCTCCCAACAAATGAGCATAGCCTCTACATTTTTCTATTGATGGCTCTGGAATCTGAGCTGCCCAACTCACCTGGCACTGCAGCCTTGGTATTCTGAGGAAAACACATCTTTTCATATTAGCCTGTCTTTGCTTCATCTCTTCCATCTGCACCCATCTTGCATTTTTTAAAATAAATAAATAAATAAAGTGAAATAGGAAAATGTGTTAAATTCCTTAGACATAGCTCAGCAACTGTCTTCTGCGAGCACAGCTAAATCCCATGGTGATTGGTTGTCTGTGGCCCAATTTATTGCGCTCCTTTCCTCAATAAACAGTCAAGGCAAAGCATGGCACAATTTTTCTTATCTATTGCTAGCTGCTCAATTTCAGTGAGGGCGGTTGAGCTACCTCACAGCCGGTGCATCTGGTGGGGGTGTTTTTTGTTTTTTTACTGCTGCATGCCCCAAAATTGAAATTTTGAGCTGTTTATAAATAAATAAAACCCACAGCAAGATATTTGCATAATTACTTTTCAAGGTAATGAGTGAGACAAGAGGCCAAAACATAGACGTTGAATATCTTCCAAGCAGTCTGTGCTGCTAAATAAACACACCGCTCATGTAAGTGCTGAGCTGTAGGGCAGTCTGAGCAGAACATAATTTATTTAGGGGACAATGAGCAATCTATTTGAGTTAGATGCCACACCAAAGGGAACACATGAAAGACATATAGGTAATTGAATATTAGATGAAGCATTATTGCAATTCAGAAATGTTTGTCTCCAGGAACCTCTATAACCAGCCACATCATTAAAAGAGGTCTCACATATAAGGTGTTTAACTGTTTATCATATCAGACGCATTCCAAAGCTGGGAGTTTATTGGTCTGAACAGCAGGCCTGAATGAGGCAATCCCAGCTGAATGGAAGTAATCAAGCACTTTGTGATATGCTCAGACGATTATTCACCCAAGTCTTCTTTACTGACAATAACTTTGATTCATTTGGCCTGAATTGACAATTTAGTTACCTTCTCTTAGCATTATTTTCTCATGAGTAGTTATGCACTGATCTCTGTTTCAAAAGCAAAGAAAAAGAGGTGCACTCCATCAGAAGGCAGATGCACACCTGTCCACTTTGAACTCATGAGAAGAGAAAATGCTTACAAGACCTGCTGGTCATACACTCAGGTCGCTCATGCTTTTATAGTGTCGGAGAAAGCCTTCAATTCAAAATGCATTTACTGTAAAATAAGTCCCGTTGGGCTGGGGAGACCAGAGCACAACATACTTCGGATCAGGCTGAAATCCTGCCAATTTCTGTACCCAAGATGTACTGATATGTGCATATTGATACATGTACAGTCGTACCTCCAAAGTCAAACAGAATCCATTCTGGAAGTCCGTTCGACTTCTGAAATGTTTGACTTCCAAAGCACGGCTTCTGATTGGCTGCAGGAAGCTCCTGCAGCCAATCGGAAGCTGCGGAAGCCCCATTGGACGTTCAGCTTCCAAAAGAATGTTCAAAAACCGGAACACTCACTTCCGGTTTTCGATCGTTCAGGAGCCGAGGTACGACTGTATATGAGCTTTAGGTCAAGAATAAGCACTCTGTCTTAAAAATATGAAACTAGTTGGTTTAATAAATATGTTGCATTAATATGGATTATTGAGGAAAGAAAAGCTATTCTCGTTTCCCCACAAAAGCCCCTAGATTTAATTAATCCTACAGGCACTCCTATGTCTACAAATTCAATCTATTTCTGCTGAAGGTATTCAAACAGATCAGATTTTTAATTTAATTTAATTCTATTTAATTTTTATTTTTTTAAAAAACACATATTGATACCAATACAAGCCCACTGAAGCCCGTGCAAACCTCTAGTATATGGTTTTAGGGCTGAAATGCCTGGGTGTTTGTTTTACTGCGAACCAGGGGTGATAAGCAGAAGACTATTCCTTGAGTGCCTCTTACTCATATAAATGCAAGCACACATCCAGGAGATTACTACAAGCATAAATCCCTTAAAATTTATAGACTCCATGTTAGTTAGCATTGTGGAAGGAAAATAAGTGAACTCTATTAAAATGATTGATGAGTTTGCAAGGAGGCACTGAGACGATCAGGATTTTTCTCTGTAATGATGTTTTTAAAATGTGCTTATGTAAAACATTTAAGACGATGTTTTAAATATATTTTTATTTAATGTGAGAAATCAAATTACTGAAGTATTTATTTTAGGATTCAAAAAAAATGTTGTTTTTAATTAAGATGTCCCTCTACACTTCCACACCATCTACAGAACTATCCAAGTTCCTGATCCACCATGCTGGAAGGAGTGGGGTTGTTCTGCCAGCGAGGGGCTCCCAAAACATTCACTCAAATGGTGGGCAGATAGAAACTGCAGCCAGCAGCAGCCCCTCTGATGGTAGTCAGTGGAAATCCCAGAAGACAGACATTTTGAGGTCAGAAAGAGAGGGGTGGGACGCTCTGTGTCCCATGTAGTCCCTGCTGCCTGCCTTCATATCATGATGGGAGCTGGCACATAGAAGGGGCATTTTTCTTGTCCTCAGCATCCCAGGTTTGCTGATGTGGTGCTGACTATGCCACTCTATCAAGCCCTGCCACTCCTGGCCAGGGATTAGGATTGCACCCTTTGGTGCTAAATGGATTGGATCGGATCTGAATGTTTCTTTCTGCCAATACAGCCTTTCCCAACCAAATGTTGGTGGACTACAACTCTTGTAAGTCTCAGCCAAGAGCTGGAGGTTACTTAGCTGGGGAATGCAGCTCTAAGAAGACTCATTCTATTGGTGGAAGAGAAATTTTATATTTAACCCATTGCACACTGTAGAATATTAAGGTCTTTAAAACATCATAATTTTATATATACACAATAGATTTTCACCAAACCAGTGAAGGGCAGTCCTCTGCATTCTCATTAAATGTTTGATAGAATCTAAGCTAGCAAGAGCAAAAAGCTGGTGGAACATAAAAACAACCATCTCAAAAATAGGATCCCTGCACTTCACAGAAAAAACTTTGAGCTACCATCTAAGCCATTCTAAATTGAATTTTTAAGGACTTTGGTCAGATTATACCCCTCAACAGGTAGAATCCCC